CTGGGTTCTGAAACCTGGTTGGCCTCTGGGTACTGAACCTGGTTAGCCTCTGGGTACTGAAACCTGGGTGGCCTCTGGGTACTTAAACCTGGGTGGCCTCTGGGTACTTAAACCTGGGTTTGCAGGTCTGGAGAGGGACAAGTTTGACAACAAGACGGTGTCCTTCGAGGAGCACATCACGGTGGAGCACAACATCTGGAACTACCTGTACTTCATCGTCCTGCTACGCGAGAAGAACAAGACCGACTACACGGGCCCCGAGAGCTACGTGGCCCAGATGATCAAGGTGGGAGGCTGGAGGGGGTCCAGGTAGGCCTGAGGGCCTCTTTGTGGGTCTGAGGGCCTCCAGGTGGGTCTGAGGGTCTCCAAGTAGACCTGAGGGCTTCCAGGTGGAACTCCAGGTGGGTCTGAGGGCCTCCAGGTGGGTCTGAGGTCCGGCTGGAGGTCTCCAGGTAAACCTGAGGTTCTCCAGGTGGACCTCCAGGTGGGTCTGAGGGTCTCCAGGTAGACCTGAGGGCTTCCAGGTGGACCTCCAGGTGGGTCTGAGGACCTCCAGGTGGACCTCCAAATGTGCCTGAGGGCCTCCAGGTGGGTCTGAGGGTCTCCAGGTAGACCTGAGGGCCTCCAGGTGGACCTCTAGGTGCACCTCCAGGTGGGTCTGAGGGCCTCCAGGTGGACCTAAGGGCCTCCAGGAGGCCTCCAGGTGGGCCTGGACCCCCCGCTGACTCGTCTCCTCCGCAGAGCAACAACCTGGACTGGTTCCCGCGCATGCAGGCCATGTCGCTGGTGGTCACCGACGGCGACGGGGAGCAGAACGAGATGCGGATCCTGCAGGACAAGCTGGCGTCCACCATGAAGGTGGTGATCACGCTGACCGGCCAGCTGACCGAGCTGAAGGAGCAGGTAGAGCTTCCATGGTTTTTCAAAAGAAGATTTGATATGGAAACTAAATATTGACGATCATTTAAAAGACAAAATAATTAAAAAGAGAATTAAAAAATGACTTAGACAAGTGGAAAGAACAATGACAGAAACAAATAAGTAAATTAATAAAATAAAAACAAGCAAACCAACTAAAGAAATTATATTATGAAATAAAACAAATTGGTCTGCTGAGTCCGGACTGAGTTTGTTCCTGCTCTGCTGGTTAAACTCTGACAGAAACACCAACATCTGAGCCTAAACTAAACACTGAATAAAGCAGCAGAATAAAGCAGTAACTGACCTGTCCTGTGAGCAGATGACCGAGCAGAGGAAGAGGAGGCAGAGGATGGGATTCGTGGATCAGGCTGGAGGCTCCGCCCCCATGGCGCCCAGCGCGGCCGGGGGGAACCACCAGATCTACAAAGCATAGACCCCTGGAGGCCGAAGAGGCTGAGAGCAGCTCCGGCGGTCAGAGGCCTCCCGCTATCAGCGTTAGCTTTAGCAGCAGAAGCAGAAAATGTTATTTATGAAACAAAGCACACCACACACCACTTCTTCTTCTCTGCTTAAACATTTGTGCTGTGGTAGCAGTGGTCATGTGACCTATAGCTCCAGTAGCTTCTATAGCTCGTTAGCTCCTGTAGCTCCTGTAGCTTCTGTAGCTTCTCTAGCTCGTTAGCTCCTGTAGCTCCAGTAGCTTCTATAGCTCGTTAGCTCCTGTAGCTCCTGCAGCTTCTGTAGCTCCTGTAGCTTCTGTAGCTCGTTAGCTCCTGTAGCTCGTTACCTCCTGTAGCTCCTGTAGCTTCCATAGTTCCTGTAGCTTCTGTAGCTCCTGTAGCTCGTTAGCTTCTATAGCTCGTTAGCTCCTGTAGCTTCTGTAGCTCCATGTAGCTTCTGTAGCTCGTTAGCTTCTGTTGCTCCTGTAGCTGTAATCACTAAATTAAGTTAAAAATTAGTTCACAGTTCAGCAGCAATAAATACGTTTTACTGATGAATAAAAAAGGTTTCAAACATCGACTGGATTCCTTTTCCTGACAAAAATTCACAAATACCAGAAAACAGAGTACAGAGATCAGAGGGGGTGGTGGACTCATCTGAGGCTCTACTGCAAAGCCTTGAGATCCCACCCGAATCCACATATGTGGAAACGCCCCACAAACCCACTCAGGACCAAACTGGCTCCCACCAGTTTGGTTTGACCTCCAGATCTCTGTTCTGATGGAGGACGCTGCCTCTCTGGACCAGGAGCCTTCTCTTTTCTTTGACCTTTGACCTCTGCACCTCAAAGCAGTTGCTATCCGACACTACTGTTTAAATCTAAAGGAAAACGCTTTCAGACGTTTGATCCAAACGGGCCAATGGGAGCAGGGCTGCTGTCCCATGTGACCTGAGAAAGGAGAGGATACTGTGTGGATCCATTTAAATGGAGGAACATCTGAGTGAGGAATTCTCTAGAAAAACAACATAAAACAGCTCATAGTTTTGTGGGAGACAAAGATCACCGTCCTTCCATTGCTTTCGGTGGGATTTATTTTTACTTTATGTATCGCAATTTAACCTTCTGAGACCGAGGTTTTTGCATTTTCCTTCTATGTTCCAGGTCTCTGTTCCAGGTCTCTGATCAGTTTAAGAACTAGACTTTGTCCTGGTTCAGGTAGTTTTTCTTCATACAGACTCAGTGGGTTTATCTTTAGATTTAAAATGTCTGTTTACAGATTTAATTAAATGTTTCTGCTATTTGGTTCTGAGGGTCCAAATTACTTATTTACAACATTTTGATTACACAATAAGAACATGATTGATGGAAAATGTATAAAAGAATTTTCCTTCAGATTTAAACAGTAAAAAAGCAGGAAAAGCTGATTTATTTCCTTCACCTAAAGACCTTAAAAAAGCTGAATTTTCAGTGATTTTCCTTCTTCTAAAGCATTTTCCTTTAGATTTCAAACAGTAGTGTCTGATAGTGTCTGCTATGAGGCCCAGAGGTCAAAGGTCAAAGAAAAAAGCAGGATCCTGGTCCAGAAAGGCAGCATCCTCCATCAGAACAGGAAATCATCATTTCAACCTTTTACATCCATTTAAACTGCTTCTTTGTTATGTTTTCTGTTTAGTGTGGACACAACGATGGCTCATCCCTTGAGTTGGAGGCCTTTTTATCTGAATTAAGTGGCTCAACAAAGATTCAAACTGGAAAACTGGACTAAAATTAGAGAAAAGGTAGAAAATGTCAGAACAAAACTCTGGATGCTGGATCAGAGTCACTAAAAACACTCTAAAGGACGTCTGGCTGCTTTGAGGGAAAATAGAAAGAAATGAAAGGCTGCTGAACACTTTTCAAACTAATCTTTATCCTTCTAATCTGAAATCATGTCAACCTCAAACCACTACTCTGCTGAGCTGGACACAGAGGGGCTCATCCCTTGAGTTAGGGGCTGTTTCTGTTCTATAGAGGGGCTCAGCCCTT